GAAGAAGAAAATTACCATCTTCATTTCACACAGCAAATATAAACATTAAGGATATTTCTTTGTTGTAATTAATATCAATTAACCCTTACTTACAAAAACAAAAGCTCCACTACGAAATCTTAGGCAAACATCGGACCCGAGGGAAAACAAGTACATGGGTAGACATGTGTTTAACCAGGCTTGTGATCTAACTCAATACTAAAAGTGTAGAATTTTAGTCCTGTAGATTGTCGATACGGTTGGTTTGAGCTCACAAGGAATAAACAGATACGCAAAATCGCCTCTATTTATTGTATCATACCATCTATTTATACCTCTATTTATAGTATATTTACCATCACTTATAATTATATTTTTTCTTATATTTGTTTTTGATTTTGTTTATTTCTTCTTTCAGATCGATCTGATCATTGCGTTTAGTGAGTTTGTTGTATCAATGACCTTTTAACGAATTTACCCTTGGAGAAGTTATAAAATCTATCATCATATTGTAGCAGTAGGAAAACCCTCGGTTCTGTACTTCTTGTACTTTTTTAGTTTTAGGAGTCTCGAAGCCAAACATACATATCGAGGCTATCTACTGGATAGTATTGAAGAAGCCTTGTGCGATCGTTGGTCATTGACTTTTTTTTATTAATTACTTTGTTTTAAAGCAATGAAAAGAACAACTTTCAGTAGAAGTTTGTACAACGTTAATTAGCTGTAGAGAATATTGACGTCCAGGTTCATCGATGAAAAGCGAACTGTTTTGTGAACCATAGCATTTTCTGTATAACATAAACTATTATAATAAAACAAGATAATGAAGAAAATATAATCTTATACAGTGGTATACTCTGGGATTTCTTCTTTCAACAAAAAAAAAAATGGTTACAGCTGGTATATATAGATAGAATGCCTACTTCAGTTTACAGAAGGCAATGGTGTAAAGGACCAAACGTAAACATTATTTACTATGGCTTAAATGAAACCGTCTACATCTGATGATACTTTAAACAAATGTCCTGAACTGTTACGATAAATCTGATAATAGTTAATGCTATTAGTATAGGATTCGGGCCAGCAGCGTAATTTGTTTATGTTTATGATGTATAACGGTTCTGTTCAAGTATTCGTGTAACGTATACATATGACGGTATAACCTTTTAATAACTACCAAATCCCAACCAACTACCAACTACCAATTTGCGTTTCTAAAGTTTTTTGGAAATCTTTAAAGTACAGTAACTAGTGTAACTGAAGCAAATCATTCTAATTTTACCATTTCAGGTTGGTTGTGAACTATCAGCAGTAATTGAAATATTAGTATGGAAATCGTATAAGTTTATTTCTCTCAGTCGTCCAAACCCACAAGAATCTCAGGACCCACGTTGTAACTAGAGCACGACCACGACCAGTATGTGTACAAGACACGGTCCTCCACCATGATACCATCTCGTCTCCGTCTCCTACGCTACAACACGCTGTCTTTGTTACCCGATATTCTCTACAGCTGGGTGACCGAGTGGTTTTAGTGCTACTAGTCGTAAAGCTGCGGGTTCCATCCTGAGAAAAGTCAGTAGCTCCTTGATGGTTCGACACTACATCCATCTGACCATCAAGGTCAGCAAGGATCTACATTGGGTTTTTATTCGGTTCATTTCTGAAGAATCCGCTGGTTTGTGTAAGGAACAACGCTTTCATTTTATCCATTCAGGACTTAAAATTCAATCATCTTCGCCTAAAAACAAGCACTCTGGTGTTTTGGCGCAGTACAATCTAATATAATCTCCTATTAGTGAATCGCCTAAAGTAGCCTATCGTATGTACACATTCTTTTTCTCATTCTCAGTCCCTTTTCAAAGCTAATTGTCAACTTGTAGTCTTCTAGGACAATTTCATTTTCACCTGTCAGTTACATTGCAGCACAAATGTACAAGTTCCCCTGAGAGATGGTTGTAGCTTGCAATGTCAGTAACTCACCCAATATCTGGTGCGCTGGCGGATGCTGAGTGGTACATCTCGAGTGTACTGATAGTTATTTGTGATACCGTAAACGCGTGTCATCCACACCTACCGCTACCGATGCAGCTTCAGGATACATCTGTCAGGGAGATTATCTCCTTTAGACACCCACTTGTTCGTATGAAGACTGAAGTGCAATATGTACCGGGTGTCTAGACTCCAGAATGTCAACACCTTATCAGTTGCAAAGATGTTATTTTACCACTAAATGTAAATAATAATCATTTAAAATTCCCAAGATGGTACAGTATTAAAATAGTGACTAATCATATCTTGTAAAATCCTTGACTACAACACAACTTTACAGCTTGTTAAAGATTGTGTTGTATTTTTATTCTAACTGGTATTTCATAAAATATTCTAATTTTTTAATAAGAATATCGAAGGAATCAGATATCAATTTAACTTTTTTTAGCTTAACTTTTTTATTATTTTTTTATTTTATTATTTTTTTGGGCAGGATTTGTTGTTGTTATTATTATTATTAACTTGGAAAACCTTGCAAATCACTGAACCTTTAAAAAGTCACTAATTAACATAATTATTGTTGAAACATTTATTAACCTTTTATTGAAATAATGAAATAATGAGGTGAAACATCAGACAATCAACCTAATAACATTTGAAGGTGTTGTTCAATGCCCCTTTTTAATTAAGGACCTTAAAGCAAAATTAAAGAAATTTGTCAATTAAGTTCTGGTACCTTTTATTCTTATCTGCAGTTTAAACATTAATTATTTGAGCTTTACTAGGTCTACATACTAGAATGTAACTGTGGTAGTGGTACGCTTGTAAATAAAGACACGTGTTGACAAATCTGTCCTAACTGTATATTTTGTATTTCGGTATGTAGTTGTTGTGTTATTGAGTTGTGGTGGTATGGTGTTTTGTGGTATGCCGTTGTGGTGGTATGGCGTTATGGTGGTATGGCAAGCGCGCGGTCTCCCTATGTATGTTAATTGGTTTGGAGACATCAACGCACTGCTCTGATACGATTATCACTACCAAGAACTCCATTTACCACTTTCAATCCAAAAAGCGTTTGCATTTCAAACCTTTTTTAACCCGTAGAGAACGATTTTACTTGTTTTGTATTTAAAACCAAAAGTTGGCTTCGTATTTTGTATGATTGTGGAATAAAAATATAAATCCGATATATTTAGTATGGTTACCGACTAAGACAAGCTTAGGTTTGAGCAAGAACCTAAGCTCAACAAATTAAAAGGTTTTGCTTACATATATAAAAGTATATCCTCAATTTTTATTTGTCTTATTTTAATTATGCAATCATGAGTAAGGACTATATAAAAACTATATGTAAAACTATACATCTTGGAGAAGAGTTACATTGTTTTTTTCAAAACTGTAGCTAGACAATGTTTAGATTAGTTTCAGTTTGAATTGCAAAAATATTCTTCGAATCAGGAGCGAAATACAACAGATTTGTTGCATAAAGGCAATCAAGGCAATGTCCTTTAAAAGTATTTAAGTTTGTCGCAATCGTCCTGCCACCAACAGACACTCTATCAGAAATCCATATCTGGTTTCCACTATACAGCATAATGATATATTGAAGTTAAACTACATATTCAGGAACTTTGTAGCTGGTTAAGGCTACGTTAGTTTAGGTTTGAATTGTAAAATAATTAATAACTATTTAGCTTTTCTAACAACAGTGCCAGTAGGCTCATCACCCATTTAAGGATTTTACAATTTAACGTTGATGTCACGTTGTGTTTTTTTGAAGGCAAAAGTCTTCAGAGTTAGGAGGTTTACCTTTAGTGTGTTGTTCTCAGTGGAGTTGATCATTGCCCCCACAGAGCCATCTCTAGTTTCCACTATCCCGGGTATGTATGTAGCTCGTGGACCCAGCTCGTGACTATCTCGTAGCCCACGCGGCCATGACTCATCGTTGGTCGTTACTGCTCGTTAATGCTGTTAATTGACATACCCTCCCACACTGTAAATCTCCCAATTGCCTCCTCGTTAGCTTGTCGTTGTAACTCGTTGGAGCTTCTGTGTCACCTGGATGTGAAGGTTGGCGTAACATTGCATCCTGGAGTACATTGTTAGCGAGAAATATCGGCGACGTTATTCTTGGGGTTTCATTGCCCTTCTTGTTTACAATCTTAATAAAAATAGCAATTTTGTAGGTATTATCTTGTGAAGGCGTTTTAAATTATTGAAATGTTTTACGTTTTCATAGGGGAACGGTCCAAGTCCTCGTCTGGTTACCCAATGACCAACGGCATCTATAGGTCCAGAGTCGACCCCGCTTGGATTGATCCAGCAAACTTCAGATCCAAACGCGAACTCTATGACCTACCTCTATACCCCCTACCTCTATACTACCTAGACTATTGAATGTAATACAAATTTACAATTAAAATCATGAGTCTCTAATGTTTTCTTGATTCAATTTGAGCTAAGTAACTTCCATTGCTCTTTTATTAATACATCGTAACTACCCACCAGCGTAATTATTGTTTTATTATGTTCAAATGATGGAAATATGTATTTAAATAACTGAAACAACCACAGCAACAGGTAATTAGCAATTCCCCTAGTTAATTTTGAATTTTTACGTCAAAAACGAAATTTCTTCTGTTTGTGTATACTTTCGAGAGACTTTAACGCACGGTTTTACTGATCCCTAACCTAAAATAACTAATTGGGTATTAACCAACTAAGACCCACATAGGTGGTTGAATACATGTAACATAACTATAGACTTATTGTGAAGGTTTTATTTCTCCTCAACTAAAACGATTTTTAATGTTCCAGGACCTCAAGCGTCACCAACATGTGATCTCAGCCATCAAAAACACACCACGCCCCACGATGGGCCTAAGACTGTTGTTAATGACACTCTAGTGATAGTGAACTGTGAACATCGTAAAAGGAAGCAGTGATGATGTAATTGCAACTTATGCCAGATGAGGACATCCCAAATAGTGATGTAGGTAGTAACACTTTCCATAGACGGTCGAAGCTAAACGCTAGTGACAATGTGGGGAGCTCAGTAATAAAGGCGATCACACTAGAAGACACGTTTGGATGGGAAAAGTATTCATCTAGTGGTGTAGACCGTTACCATATGCAATATTAGTGATATGAAGAGTCACAGTGAACTAGTTCTAGATTTGCTGGCGTCATTTGACAAGTTAGTGATGCAAAGACCTAGTGATCACTAGAGATGTTGCTGCTGCCTGACCAGACGTACGAGGAGGCCTCCTTGGAGCTGTTGACGGTGCTGAGACTTTGTGATGACTTCTTATCTCAGTACCGCATTAGACCCGACTTCTTCTGTCGCTACCGGGAGAGACTGGCAGCCCTCAAGTGTCAAACTTTGATGCCTTCCACCAGAGCTGCCTCTCAATCAGCGTCACGCTCAGGTCAGTTCTGGATTGAGCTAGAATTTAAACACCCCTTCAGCTTAACGTTGCATGCTTATTTCAAACGAAAACTGTTTGAAAATTTCAATAGTGGAGAAATTTATTTTCTAAACTTCCATTATAATAACATGGTATAGCATCGTATACAATCACGGACATATCGTATGGATTTCATTATATAAGAATTTGCTATCCTGGCTAGGATGTGCATTTTAGGGTGTTTAATAAGAGATGAGTTTTTTGTTGAATGAATGTGATATCCACTTTGTTACCAAGTCAAATAATTTGTTTATTTTACAAGGACCGTTTAGCAAAGGCCCGATGAACAAATACAGCTACTATTAGGTCCATTTCGACTAAAGAGCATCTGACTTTTCTCAGGATCGCGCCGGTAACCTCTTGAATACCGGGCGAACACTATATCGACTCAGTTACCCAGCTTAATTCTCGCTGACTATAGTAACTTACTTGAATTTTGAACACTTATTCTCAAATATGGTGGATAAGCTAAAAATAAATGAATTCTGTATCAGTTAACTTAATCTCTCGGATTAACCTTAAGTCATTATCAAATAACTCGTCGTCGTCTTAGTTTATTGCAACTACTTTAATCTTAGTTGATTTATCTCAGCCCACCTCATCGTGATCGTGATCCAAAACTACTACTAAAATCAAACATAAAACCTATTAAATCCCAATAAAACTATAAAATGCATCATTTTCGGTTTCAACCCCGATCCAAACAATTCTGGATACTCAGTTCAAGATGCAAGATAAATCGCATCGGCTCTCAATAAACTATTACCCCCTCTATCACGCGCGGAATGCCACGGATTCTGAAGGACATTGCGGATTCCTAGGAGACTTAGAGGTATTTAGTGTCGCGGATGCAAATAGTGCAGGGAATGCATCTCGGCAAGTCGCATGTCACCATAATTGTATGCCTCGCTAATCTGACGCCGACAAAGGCAGATTGATGGTCGCGGGCCCTGAGTCGTCTGTCCCATTGTCCAGCCCAGTTTTTATCTGCTAATATATTCCGGGAGCGTCTCTCCGTTGATCCAAGGCTACCGGAGGACGCCCCCGGTACCCGCTCTACGACACACCCCACACCTCCACGGATCTGGAAACAGAAAACATACTCAAATGTTGTTGCAAGGAATACAATATTCTTCTGTCACCCATATACTACTGTCTACGTTGCCGAGTGATGTTAGTGCTGACTTTCAAATCTGAGAGTAGCTGGTTTCATCATCAGCTAGTTTCGATTCTTCCAGATTCTATTTTTGTGATCGAGCTACCAGTAACTATATTGGGCCCTCCGTCGATCTGGAAACATAGGGCATACTGAAGTTCGCTACAAAGAGTATACCTCTTTAAGTTCTTCAAGTTTATGCTGTCTGGATTGCCTGGGGTTGAAGTTCTTTGATTCAAATGTAAAGATTGCTGGCTTGATTTCACGTGGAGTAAAATCTTAACCTACTGAGTTAGGTGCAACTTAATTTTCAGTGGGTGCAATTAGTTTGCTATCGACACACTCCATATACCTCCGTTCTTCAAATATTAGGGTTGCTGGATTGGTCCCAAGTAGAGTAAGGTGAAGTTAATTTTATTCAGAAACTAACGTTTACAAAATGTTATTTATATTATTTTTGTAGGTAGATTTAGGTAAGTTACATCATTTGACACACAACGAGTTGATAACACGTGAGTTTAGTTTTGCAGGTATAATTTACTGAGTTTACAAACAAAGTGTTGCGAGTCGTCGCAAAGATGATCTATTTGTCAATTACATGTCCACCAGTAGCCCAAGAGCAAAGTGCTCACTGTAAAATGTGTCATAAAATAAGCGAGAAACGTTTATCTCTAAGTATGGATCTAAAGTAGTAAGTGGTACCTAAGCACATACTATTGATGATGGTTGTTTTTTAGGTTGAAGTAATACTTGATGGAAATGTTACATCACGAACATATAACATTCAAGTTACACTTGACGAGTTTCATCCAATATTAATCAACCTTTATTCAGTTTATGTGCAGAATTACCGGTATTTAATCACAATAATTTCTATCCTAGCTTAGAAACGTGTTTTAGAAACAATCAAGCAACACAAACAACAAAAGACAGGCGGTCGTAGAAGCTCAACAATTACTGGTCGGATAAGGAATGTAGTCTGGTTGAACACAAGACACTAGACCGCCTCAGACACAGCTTCACTGTCGCAAACTAAGGGAAGCTGATGTACGTCTTTAGCTATGCGTATGGTCAAAATGTCAGCTTATAAACTAAATTATTTTTTGTTATATTGTTATTAGATTTGATGTTCATATCCTTATCCTCATAATCCTAGAACAGCATATTCCATTATTACTAGTACCGAAAGTGGCGTATTCCGGCACGCGCTCAAGTTTGATGTGAGAGGCAAAGCCGAAAACAGGAAAACTAAATTTCACGTGTGACTAAATAACTAAACTTTAAGAGGAACTAAATAACGCGGAAAAACGACCAAAAATGTTTTTTTTTTTTTACCAAAACACGTCATGTAATAATCAAAAAATTTTTTGATCCGACGTCCTTTGTAGTACTAAAAATACAAGTAGGCCTAACATTAGCCATGACTTAACGCTTGAAAATGTAAACTAGCATAAATATTGAATATAAATTTAGGTAAAATATAGCTCCTGAATTCAGCGTCCATGATTTGAGTTATACATATAACATTTTGCGACTACCATATACATTTGATTTCTTATATACAAGTTGTATAAATATGAGTAAATGTCAACGTATAGAGAATGCTTCTTCCTCGGTGGATATTCAAAATAAACATGTTAATTACAAAGTAACTGTTCAACATGGGTAAGACATTACGCCTTTTCTCACGTAACATCAAAAGCAGCTCCGATTTTAACTTCATTAAACATTTTTGGAAAATTGAGTAATTAGAAAAGTAATCAAGTATGTTTAGAACAGGTTATGATAATACACTGTGTAGGTGTGACGGTAAGCGAAGAGGGTGATGGATTGTGTTTTGTTAGGGACAATCGGGTCGCCGGAATGGTCGCCCCCGGAAACATCACCCCCCAGGCTAAACGTGACGTCACGAAACCAGACAACCAGCTGGTATAAAATCTATGTCCGCGACCGGAATCGTTCCCCCCCAAGGGCTTGACAAGTAATTTATCAAAATCTAGTTGATATGAACTAATTATGTTATTAATTTTAATTCAAACAAGTAGAAACGGAAAGGTCTTCCCCGGCAAGGCATCCCCTATGTACACCCCGGAATCGTCCCCCCCTGAAACGCTACCCCTAGTAGGGCTGGGCTGCTCGGCAGCCTACCTGCTGCCCGTCCTCCTCAGTCCATTGTTCTGAGGGTCGGCCGCTCGTTCATTATTATTGTCGCTTGGACAACAGCTTTTCCACAGAAGAAAATTGCAGACGCTGTGGTGGAATATCAATCAGTAGATTTAGATGTGTATGAACTTCTAAGACAACTAAATAATGCGGGCAAAGATTGACTTTAAAAAATGATTCTTTTATACTTAATTCATAACCAACGATAATGTGTAAAGTATACAATTTTTTCTGTTGCATTAAATGGTAGTTATACTTATCAACATCAGTAAACTTACCTTACACCCTATGGTAATTGTTAAGCAACACATTTGTTAAAAAATAGAATAATTTCTAATTATATTAAAAATGAATCGCATTGCTTCAGGTTTGGCCCCGAATTAATTAATAATTTGAAAATTAGAAACAGATTATTAAATAAGAATAAACATAATAATATCTTTTAGGGGATTAATCCCTTAAACTTATCGAAATAATTAATTGTTAGTAATTACAAATATGTAAATGATACTATTCTAAAGGTTATGCCAAAAAGTACCTTAATTCGGAAACAGCCTAGGCTAGTTTCATATCACTGGAATAGAGTCAAAATATAATGAAAGTATAATCAAAATATCAGAATCATTTTAAATCGAGAAGAGGACTTGCAATCAGTGTTGATATACCAATAAATTAGTTTTGTTATAAGATGTATATGTTTAGAAAACCTTTTTGCTACTGAAGTTTGCAAAATTATGTTTCATAATTACTAAGGGGAAAATATACGTGAGTTCAAATTTTTAATGTGTAATCAAAATTTGAAATGTTGAGCTGTAAACTTGTATTACATCGCTTAAACGATAGTAACATTCGTATATACTCCAATTAATGTATCACAAATTAAGTTTTTAGTGTCAAAAATGGGAAAACCCAATTTTTACCCCATAAAACCCCCCATAAACCCCCGTTCCCTTGGTTCGATCATGCTGGTTCGCGAACTCGTACGAATAAACGTAGGTTTACACGCTTGTACCAAATTTCATCAAATTTATGAATTTGAACGGATGGTGTTTTTGGCATCTAGGGACCTCAAAACGAAAAAGTAAATCGGTCCCGGGTCCAGGTCTCACCATGAGTACTACGGTAATAGCTTATTCCCTATAGGGGAAATTCGCTAACACAAATTTAGGATTTTGTAACAAAGTTTGGAAGACAGGTACTTAAATTGAGAAATAAATACACACAATGAGTACTAAATCGTCTATTAGGCCTATACATTTTAATTATGGAAAGAAAATACAAAAATATAACTGAATAACAATTTAATATTCTACAAAGTGTCAAGGAATTTATACAGTACCGGTACAAACTTCATTTACAATATAATTTAAAATAATAAAATATATCAAAATCAAAATCAAGAGCACAAAAAGAAGAAAAAAGCATAAAGATAAATTTTTTGTGTTACGCACTTTAAATTTGTGTGTTTCGTTTCTTATTCTTATTTTTATTTCTTTTTATAAATACACATTTTGCTACTGTAGTACCTTTACCTATTTGGTAGTGTTTGGACACCTTCTTATATGGGAAAAGGTTGAAAAATATGTTGATAATATTTCAAATTATCAAATCAAATACTTAGTCATTTTAACTACGTAAAAAA